CTATTTTGTATAGTTTGTAGATAAGGCCTGTATGCCAGACTCTATCGAAGGCTTTGGCGATGTCGAAAAAGACCGCGATAGTCTTATGACGACGGGGATAAAAACCGCTGAGGATATATTCCACAATACGGTGAACTTGTTGGGGGCAGGAGTGTTTCGCTCGGAAACCGAATTGATGGGGAATGATAAGAGGGTCACCGTCTGTGGGAAACAGATGGCGCCTCATGCGATTTTGAATGACTCTTTCAAAGAGCTTGCCCATGGCCTTGAGGAGGCTAATGGGACGATGACTGGAGGGGAGATTAAGAGGCTTGCCTGGCTTGGGAATACCAATCACAGTTGCCTCTTTCCACGTAGTGGGAAAGTAACTAAGGTTGAAGCAGGCATTGAAGATAATAGATAAAAGGGTTAGCACCTGCTCAGGAAAGTTTTTTAGGGCTTGGTTGGAGATGCCATCCGCGCCCGGAGCCTTTTTAGGCTTAAGTCCTTTGATGAGGGATGAAAGCTCATCATTGGAGACAGAGATAGGTTCGGAGGCTGTAGGGGGCGAGTTCCGGCGGCGGACCTCATCCTCCACTGCCTGGACGTGTGAGGGGTCTACGGGTTGAGAGCTAGGAGAGCATTGAGCGGCAATGCTGTCTGCAAAGCACTCAGCCTTTTCCTCGTCCTCGAAGGCTACCGTACCGTCGGGACGGGAGAGAGGGGGAGTGTGGAAGATAGCGTCTATGCGGAGGGCTCTTGCCATCTGATAGTACGCTGTATGAGAGGGAGAGATATTCTCCATGAGCTTACTCTTTTCGAGGTCTCGAAATTCAGAGAGGCGGAAACGGAGTTCTCGTTGAAGACGATTGGCCGTGCGCCTATATTCGGGCGTGGGATATTTTGCTGCTCTCCGGAAAGCAGCTTTTTTGGCTTTTAATAGGTTGCTAATATGCAGGGGAAGCCCACTATTATTAGCAACCGGGACGACCCTTTCATTCTTCTTAAGGGAGGTTTTAATAAGGGTGGAGAGTGAATCAACCGCGGTGTCGATTTTTTCAGGACTGTCTAAGTCCGAAGATAGGGAGATGGGGGAGTCCTGTGAGTCCAGAGCTTTCGCTAGGGACTCCTTGAAGCCCTTCCAATTTGTGAAGGTTTTAGTAGAGGGTGTTGGGAGTGGTGGCTGATGGCCAAGAATGAGAGAGACCGGTCGGTGGTCGGATCCTAGATCGTCTAGTGTCTCGATTGCCCTAAGGTTGAGAGAAACTCCTTTGAGTAACGCAAAATCTAGTACATCGGGGGCATAGTCGGTGTTATCGGGAAAGTGAGTAACACCGAGAGGACTGTGGACGGTAATATCAAGAGACTGCGTGATATCGAGCAGTAACTTGCCACTACGGGTGGTAGTACGGCATGTCCATTCAGTATGCTTGGAGTTAAAATCTCCAAACATAATGACTGAATTGCCTAGAGATAAAATAGCCTCAAAATCTTTTTTGAGGGGAAGGGTTTTAGAAGGGATGTAACAGGAGGCTATGAAGATGGACTGATGTCCAGTCATAGCTAGCCTGCATACCGTGGCTTCCATGTTGGAAAGTTGCGGAGTAGAAATGGGAGAACAGTGGAGTGTCTTCTTGTAATAAATGGCCGTACCGCCGCCTCGGCGGTCGGGTCTATCATTACGAAGAAGAGAAAAGTTTTTGATGGAAAGGCCTTTAGTGTCCTTAGTATTGAGATTAGTTTCCTGTAGGAGGAGGAAATCGGTTTCACGATTTTGAAGAAAGAGCTTAAGCTCTGGGAGGTTATTTCGCAAACCGCGAATGTTAAAGGATACAAGCGATAAACCCTTAGGTTTGATACGACCGTGGGATTTCGGTAGAGCAAACTGCTCTGTCATTGTGAGTTAAGTTAATTAAGTTAACTTAACTTACAATGAGCACAAAAGATTATGATGCTCTGCAAGAGCGAGGAGTCGGTCCTGAGGGGACCTCGCAGCGCGCAGTTTGCGTGCTAACACAGCGATTTCCTCAACGTTGATGTTCCTAATTGCGGAATACACCGTTTTTAGGTCATCAGCCATTGAGGGCTGTGATTGTTGTGGTTGAGGGGCGGAGGATGTCCGCGGTGGTACTGCCTTTTTGGGGCCCCAGGGAAAAACTGGAGGCTGCATAGGCTGAGAGAAGCCCGGAGGGGGCCGAATAGTGCCCTGAGGGGGCCTAGGAGGACCCTGAGAGGGTCGAGAGAAGCCCTGGGTGGGCTGAGAAAGGCCCTGACGGGGCATCCGTTGGTAAAGAGCCGGGAATGAGCGGTCATTGACCGGCGGTGGAGCTTGCCTACTGGGGCGAGGATGAGGTGCGCAAGGGCAGCCTCTGTAGTTAGCCGGGTGGCCCGTTTGTTTACACAGGACACACGCGGGTGGGGATTCGGCGTCTTTGGGCCGAGGACACTCTTTAGTGTTGTGGGGTTCAAGGCACTTAACGCACCTGGGTGGGGCGGAGCAGTTGGCCGCCGCATGACCATACAGCTGGCAGCGGTGGCACTGCGCCGGGAACCCGCGCCTATGTGGAGGCTCAACCCTCACTCTCGACAGGCCGCACACTGTGCGTACCTGCCGAAAGATGGCTTTCGCCTCCGGCACGTTGGTTAAAATTACTAGGGCAAGAGAGAACCTCTGGCCTGTTCTACTGTGCATTTTGTGCACGGCTTCTACGGGGAAACCTTGGGACTTAAGGTCCTCAAGGATTTCTTCGTTTGAAAATTCGAAGGGGACGCCGCGGATGACGGCCCTGACTTTGCGCTCTTCCGGAAGAGCGTATGTATGATAAGAAACTCGTTCGGCTGTGAATAGCCTGGTGAGTCGCCGGAAGTCGTCGATTGATTGGGGGATGATCTTAATAGCCTCCCCGAGGTTGATGGCGTGGTCATATTTTATGCCTGCGTTGTAGCAGGTTTTGGAGAGTTCTGTGAATTTAGCCTTGTCTCTTAGGAAGACAGGGGGCGGGACTTGCTTCTTGGCAAGGACTGGAGCACAGCGAGAGGCTGGCTTGGTCGGAGCGGGAATGTCTAGTGACATAAGTGGGGCTGAGGCAGCGGCGGGGGCTGCGGGGGCAGAGGCGGCAGCGGGAGCTGCGGAGGTTGAAGGAGCGGCAGGGGCCGCTGAGACTGGGAGGGTGCGGTTTTTAGCGGCGCGTTTACCGTTGCGCTTGGAGTTCACCGTGGTGAACGAAGAATCCCCGGTTCCGTCGGAGTCACAGGACTCCGATGAGCCGGTGCCAGAATTGGTGGCGGGCCTCTTCCGGGAGGCCGATGCAGAGGACTCGGAGCATGCGTACTCCATTTCTAATGGGGCGAAAGAGTTCTTTGTCTCTAGGTAGGCCGCAAGTACGGGCGGCGGTTGGAGTGCCTGACGGGCAGGGGGAGTAACATGGGCGGCGATGGCGGCAAGGGCCGTCTCATCGAGGTTTAGGCCCAGACCAAGAGTTTGGTTTAGGGCGGCGACGAGGGACTTAATTTGGGTAATTGTGGACATGTTGAGGGCAGTAGTTTTACGAAACGTATTTGATACGGAAGGGGCTAGTGGGTGCTGTTCTGAAAAGAACAGAGACGTTATGTACCTAAACAGTAAGGGCGGGATCACCGTTCTGAGAAGAACGGGACGTTCTTAATTCTAGGAGTAAGTGCCCCTGCCCTCAAAAGAGCAGGGCCTTGCTCTGAAAAGAGCAAGTAACTCCCTAGAAACAGTATATACAACGTACACGTTATACAAATAAATAACGAAAACAAAATTAGAAATAGTTAACAAAAGAATTAACAATAAAAATAACAATAACAAGCAAGACCAACAGTCAAACCGCCCCGCCCGGAGACAGGGAGGTAATAACTGGAGTTAGCGTAAAATGACTCACCAAGGCGTCGACGCTGTAAGCGCGAGCAGGACAGCGGAGGCGCGAGAGCGAGAGAGCACTACCGTACGGGGACGGATGCGCGGACTACCTGGACACGACCGCTCGAGAGCGGTGCCACAGGCGGAATAGGTCTGATGAACGGTATGGTAGCGCATTATATACGAACAAACAAAAAAAAAATATTTATATATTAGAATATAGAAAGGTATCTAATTAGTTACTACGTATAAGGTAATACGATTTTGTCCTGCGCCAATGGCTAGACTCTCCATCCAATGAATCCTGAGGTCAATCCGCATACTATTAAAAAAAAAAAAAAAAAAAAGAAATTAGTTAATCCCCCATTAATTTTAATACTCAAAGCCCGCCATGAAATAATGTCGCGGGGTGAACGAGGTGTATATAAAGTACAGATAATATTATTGTCGAAACATGTCGTTTTCTATTTTGTATCACTTCATTTAATATGATTATCCAAAGTAAGATATTATAATTTATATTATTATGAAGACGAAGATTTTTATTTATTAAAAAAAAAAAAAAACTGTATCCTAACTAACAGAAGCGTTCTGCGCGTGAACATTGGTGGTGGTAGACTTCGCGGGCAGCGACGGCGCAGGCATCGTCGGCGCCGATCGTCGATGATGGTGATGAATGATCATCCGTCGTGAGACAGGTAAGCTTTACCCTACTGTGTATCTTATGATGTTAAATAGTATACAGTTTGTCGTCTATTATACTAGATTAGTACATCTATCTATTAATTTATTTAAACGGTATCTAAATAAACATTTCGATTTGCTGAGCCCTTAATTCGATATTATGTTTTTGTTGTTATCTCATAATATTACCATACCATACTATCTATCTATATATCTATCTATCTATTACTTGCTCGTTTAACGTTCTCTTATATTCTAAAGAAACGCACAGTTTATTGTGTAGAAACATATGCGGCCCTGAAAAGGGCCTTTTATGAAAGTGAAAGAGAACATACGTTAAAACCAACACAATCATCATCATCTTGTCAACGTGTAGTTGTTGTTAATGAGGCATATTTAATATTGCCACTTTCACACTGCCAATCGATGATTGATGTTAAAAATTAAACGTAGTTCACAACACAATCGGTAGAGTAGAGTTTATTAAGCTCGTTCCCCGCGAATTCTGCGCTAACTGTATGTCTTTCGGCATAATGGTTACGCGTTTTGCATGAATCGCGCATAAGTTGGTATCTTCGAACAACCCGACTAGGTAAGCTTCGCTAGCCTCTTGAAGGGCCATCACGGCGGAGCTCTGGAAGCGGAGGTCGGTCTTGAAATCCTGAGCGATTTCACGCACCAAACGTTGGAACGGCAATTTGCGGATGAGGAGCTCGGTGCTCTTCTGGTAGCGACGAATCTCACGGAGAGCGACGGTACCGGGCCTGTAGCGATGTGGTTTCTTAACACCGCCGGTTGCTGGTGCGCTCTTACGGGCTGCTTTGGTGGCCAGTTGTTTACGCGGCGCTTTACCACCGGTGGATTTCCGAGCGGTCTGCTTAGTACGTGCCATTGTTACGTTACACTAACTCAACTAATACACAATATATTCACTATACGACTATACGTTCTCAACGCGCGGGATACTGAAATCGTCGCGAGTGGCGACGCTTTTATATGGTCGACAAATGTGCGGTTACAGGCGAGACTTCTCTACCCATCTCTTTTCCTTCCCCCCCCCCCCCCCCCCTCTGCGTTTTTACTTCATCGTGAATATCGGGTAGACCAAGCAATCGTATTAAAAAACTTTTAAATAATAATAATATACAATATTATGATATTTGCATTATAGAGAACCCTCGAGGTCTTAATTTCATATGAAATCACTAATATCTTGCTCAAAATATACTCCTTGTAATAAAAATATCGTTTGTGTCTTAAATTGTAGGTTATAATTATTTCTAATAGTTATTAAGCTCTCATAGGCGCGTATTATAGCAGATTTCTAGTTATTAAGTAGACTATTCTAAATTTATTTTACGTAATTTCAAATAAGATCTCTTTATTATTATTATTATTTTTTTTTTTTTCGTATCCTTTTATGTATTAGTTGTATGTAAGTTTATTTTAAAATTGTACATTTGCATGCGAGGTCTATCTATAAAAGAATACTCTTAGCGTAGCGGACGAACGAGCGAGATGTAGGGTGACGTTATTATGAGAAACTGATAGTAATACGATATATTTTGTGGCCCTGAAAAGGGCCTTTGAAATACACCTAAAACACACCAATCACCGACCTTACTTGGAGCTGGTGTATTTGGTGACTGCCTTGGTGCCCTCTGACACGGCGTGCTTGGCGAGTTCACCGGGCAACAGCAGTCTCACGGAGGTCTGCACTTCCCGTGAAGTAATAGTCGAACGCTTGTTGTAATGAGCCAAGCGCGAGGCCTCTGCGGCTATGCGTTCGAAGATGTCGTTAACGAAAGAGTTCATTATGGACATCGCTTTACTGGATATACCAGTATCGGGATGCACCTGCTTGAGCACTTTGTAGATGTAGATGGCGTAACTTTCCTTCCTCTTGTGCTTCTTCTTCTTCTTATCCGACTTGGAGATGTTTTTCTGTGCCTTACCAGACTTCTTGGCGGCTTTACCACTAGTTTTCGGCGGCATCTTGAAGAATATTTAATGTAAATGTGATCACGGATAATACTAAATTATCACTGAACATTTTTTTTTTTTTTTTTTTGCGCCCGAAGCAATTTGGAAAAGGGCTACCCTTTACGGGAGGCGGAAAATGCATTACGCATACCACGATGGCTATCCATCGTGGTTATGTGGGACTCACTGCCTACCGGGGGACCTAAGTGATACCCACTAAAAACCGCCTTTGGGGACTGGCAACTAGCTGTTGAAAGCTTCACATGCCGTATCGTAAAGCGACCCTCTTTTGGGAAAAGAGGGCGCAGACGGCTAAGTGCCGTTTAGGGACTGCCTACGAAGGCATATTTATTTTAAATAATTTTTAATTTAATTAGAATTGGCCTGAGCCGCCAAAAGGCAGTTCAGGTCACTTGAGAGTTTATTTGGCTGGTCCGAGAGAGTATTTCTCGGCCTGCGGATGCTATGGCAAGAGGGGAGTGGGGCGGTATAAGTTACTGCCTCACGAATTAATGAGTTGTTGTGCGACTCTGAAACTTTAAAAAAGTTTTCAGAGAGAGTTTTAGTGTATTGTTGAATTGTTGGGATTTCTAAATCCCGGTGAAGATCGGCATTACGGACGTACCAAGGTGCGTTCGTAGCTCGACGACAGAATAAGTTTTGAACTACTTGTAGTTCGTTAATTATTTTATTATCGGCTTGTGCAAATACCGGGGCCGCGTAAGTCATTACGGGACGTATACAAACCTTATAAAGTGTTCGCTTATTTCTTAAAGACATTTTACTATGTCGGCCTAACATGCTGTTTAACCTACCTAAGTAAAAGCGAGCTAATTGTGTTACTCTTTTGACATGAGGCTCGAAAGTGAGCCTATAGTCAAGGGTGACACCTAGATATTTAGTTGACGTATGCCACGGGACAGGAGTCCTTAACATGCGTATCTGAGGAATATTTTTATTGATTTTATGACGGCGTCGTTTAAAGTCGAATTGAACCGCGGAGCTCTTCTCCGGGTTCACATCGATGCGCCATTTTTGGAACCAATCTCCTAGGTCATCGACTGACTTTTGGAGTTTGTTTCTAGCGTGAGATGATAATCTACTTTTAAAGTAGAGTGCAGTGTCATCTGCGAAGAGTGATAGTTGTACACCGTTCGACGGGATTGGAACGTCGTTGGTGTACAAGATGTACAGGAGGGGAGCTAGTACCGATCCCTGAGGAACACCAGCTTTAATGGGGCGCGGAGGGGATAACGTGCCTTCGTATCTAAAACGAAAGGTACGATGTTGTAAATAAGAGGCCACGAGACGTACTAGACGATCGGAGAGTCCTATTTTATATAATTTAAATATGAGGCCTTCGTGCCAGACTCGGTCGAAGGCTTTGGCAATGTCGAAAAAGACAGCGATTGTCTTTTCTCGACGTGGATAAAGACCGCTGAGGACATATTCCACAATGCGGTGAACTTGTTGGGGGCAGGAGTGTTTCGCTCGGAAACCGAATTGGTGGGGAATGATAAGAGGGTCACCGTCTGTGGGAAACAGATGGCGCCTCATTCGACTTTGAATTACTCTTTCAAAGAGTTTGCCCATGGCCTTTAGGAGGCTAATGGGACGATGATTGGAGGGGAGGTTTAGAGGCTTGCCTGGCTTGGGAATACCAATAACAATTGCCTCTTTCCACGTAGTGGGAAAATAGCTTAGATTAAAGCAGGCGTTAAATATAATAGATAAGAGGGTTAACACCTGCTCTGGAAAGTGTTTAAGGGCTTGGTTGGATATGCCATCCGCGCCCGGAGCCTTTTTGGGCTTAAGTCCTTTGATGAGGGATGAGATCTCATCATTGGACACTGTGATAGGGTCAGAGGTTATGGGGGGTGAGTTCCGGCGACGGACCTCATCCTCCACTTCCTGAATATGTGAGGGGTCGACAGGTTGAGTGCTAGGAGAGCATTGTGCGGCAATACTATCTGCAAAGCACTCAGCCTTTTCATCGTCCTCGAAGGCAACCGTACCGTCGGGGCGAGAGAGAGGAGGAATGTGATTTGTAGCGTCTATACGGAGGGCTCTAGCCATCCGATAGTACGCTGTATGGGAGGGAGATATATTCTCCATGAGTTCACTCCTTTGGAGGTCTCGAAATTCAGCAAGGCATAAACGGAGTTTTCGTTGAAGACGATTAGCCGTATGCCTATATTCGGGGGTGGGATATTTAGCTGCTCTCCGAAAAGCAGCTTTTTTAGCTTTTAATATGTTGCTAATATGTAGGGGAAGCCCACTATTATTAGCAACCGGGACGACCCTTTCATTCTCCTTAAGGGAGGATTTAATAAGGGTTGAAAGTGAATCGACCGCGGTGTCGATTTTTTCGGGACTGTCTAAGTCTAAATCCGACGATAGGTAATTAGGGGAGTCCTGAGAGTCCATAGCTTTTGCTAGGGAGTCCTTGAAACCCTTCCAGTTAGTGAAAGTTTTCGTATTTATAATAGGGGGTGGCTGATGGCCAAGAATAAGGGAGACCGGTCGGTGATCGGATCCTATATCGTCTAGTGTCTCAATTGACCTGAGGTTGAGTGAAACTCCTTTGAGTAACGCAAAATCTAGTATATCTGGATTGTAATCGGTAGCATCGGGATAGTGCGTTGCACCGAGAGGACTATGAACTGTAATGTCAAGATCCTGCGTGATATTAAGCAGTGTCCTGCCACTACGATTGATTTTACGGCATGTCCATTCAGTATGCTTAGAGTTAAAATCTCCAAACATAATGACTGAATTGCCTAGAGACAAGATGGCCTCAAAATCATCTTTGAGGGGGAGGTTCCTAGGTGGAATGTAACAGGAGGCTATGACTAAAGACTGATGTCCCGTCATAGCTAACCTGCATATCGTTGCTTCCATATTGGTAAGCTGCGGCGTATCAATATGAGAGCAATGTAGTGTTTTCTTGTAATAAATGGCCGTACCGCCGCCTCGGCGATCGGGCCTATCATTACGTAAAATAGAATAATTATTAATCGTAAGGCCTACCGTATCCCTAGATTTTAATAATGTTTCCTGTAAGAGGACGATATCGGCTTCGCGATCTCGAATAAAGAGCCTAAGCTCTGGGAGGTTATTTCGCAATCCGCGAATGTTAAATGAAATAAGCGATAAACCTTTAGGCTTGATACGTCCGTGATTTATAGGCAGAGCAGAGGGCTCTGTCTCTGTCATTGTAAGTTAAGCTAATTAAGTTAACTTAACTTACAACGAACGCAATAAATTATTGTGCTCTACTAGAGCCAAAAGTCGGTCCTGCGGTGACCTCGCAGCACGCAGTTTGCTTGCTAAAATTGTTATTTCATTAATGTCGACGTTCTTTAACACGGCGTAAACCGTGTTTAAGTCGTCGGCTATTGAAGGCTGCTTCTGCTGCGCAGCAGGGGCAGCTTTTTGTGGATTAGCCTTTTTAGGGCCCCAGGGAAAAACTGGAGCCTGCATAGGCTTAGAAAAGCCGGGAGGTGGCCTAAGCGGCGCCTGCGGTTGTCTTTGAGGACCCTGAGGGGGTCGCGCGAAGCCCTGAGACGGCTGTGCTGCTACGCCCTGACGGGGCTTCCTAGCGTACAATGCCGGAAATGAACGGTCATTTACCGGCGGCGGAACCTGTCTGGGTGCGGGAATACGAGGGCGAGGAGCGCACGGGCATCCTCTGTAGCTCGCCGGGTGTCCTGTCTGCTGGCACAGGACACACGCGGGCGGTGAAACGGCATCTTTCGGCCGGGGACACTCTTTGGTGTTGTGGGGATCCAAGCACTTAACGCACCTGGGTGGGGCGGAGCAATTGGCCGCAGCGTGACCGTACAGCTGGCATCGGTGACACTGAGCCGGGAAACCGCGCCTATGCGGTGGCTCAACCTTTACTCCAGA